ATAGGGTAGGAGGGGAGGGAGAGGGAACTGGGATTGACATGTAAAACAATCTTGTTTCTAATTCAAATAAAAAAAAGAAAATATTTTGCTAAACTTCTTCATATTGTTAATTCAGGTTTCTGAAATCAATTAAGCAAATCTTCCTATGCTTATTTGTTTTCTTCTACATACTTTAAATGAAACCAATTTTTAAATTCTCTACACTTAAACCATTGCCAGGTGGGGTTTTTGTTGTTGTTAATATTTGGTTTTGTTTTGGCTTTTTGAGACAAGGTTTCTCTGTGGAACAGCCCTATATAACCTGAAACTCACTTTGCAGACCAGGCTGGCTGGCCTTGAACTCACAGAAATCCCAAGTGCTGTGATTAAAGGCATGTACACCTGGATGCCAGCTGGTATGTTTTCGACAGAGTCTCATCCTGCTCAGGCTGGTCTGGGCTTGATGTTGATACAGCTCCTGAGACCTAGGATTAGAGAGGAACCAAGTTTATATGGTATCGGGATAAAAGCCAGGACTGCGCATGCTGGGCAAACAATCTATCAACTGAGTCACATAACCAGTCCAGTAGATATTTGCTCTTGATGTAAATTTATATACTACTCACCAGATAACCCAGGAGACCCAACAAGGGCACAGGATTCAGCAAGACTCAAACACTTAAATGATGATTTCACTTCTTTGATTACAACATCCCCATTTCCAAAGGGCACCCATTAAGATGATGATAGGTGGAATAAGAAAATCCCTGATGTTGCTCTAAAATGTTTGAGTCTGGGATGCAGCCAGTGTGCAGTTCTTACACATCACCTGCAAGTTACTAGGTTTGATCCCTAGCATAGTAAAACCTTAACACAACAACGTGTATACAACACATCACACACACACTTTCTTTTTCCTCCAACGGCCAAATACACTCAAATCTATATTGGCATAATACAATTCTATATCATTTTCCTAACATGATTATATATTTCTACTCATGAAAAATCTTTGAAAATTAAGCATAAAAGTGACTTCTTACATAAGATTCATTCTATCCAGAGGTTAGAATTCTTTTCAGGCCAGCTTTCCAGTCAAATGTTCAATGCTTTCCAAAGTCACTTTTTAAATACAAACTCCCCCATCTTATTAATACAAACTTTTCATGTCACTTCCATTGCTTATACTGCCTCTAGTCCTTTATAAATTTTAAAGCAGGACCAGGAAATTGTTAAGGACTACAGCCTCACTTACACTGATCTTACTGTTCAGTGTAAACTTTTGGCCATGGAGAATTTCTAATTAAAGCAGCAACTATACTTTTTATCAGATATTAACACAAACATAAGACATCAGCTGGACACTGAATTTTTCTAACTATAACTTTCAGGGGTCATATGTTCGGAAACTGTCCTATATCTTAAATACCATCCCTTCTGTCCAAGAACTCTTCTCAAGAGGCAATAAGAGAATATAACTTGTATGCCTTCCTCAATTTTTCAGAACTATTGTTGTCAGTCACATACTCTTACTAATATTTGATATGGCACATTTTGTACCAAACATTTACTGCTGAATTATTCATTATAAGTTTCTGAAGTTTGTGCTCATCCCTGAATCTAAAAAAAGGGACAATGATATCTTCAACACATCAAGTAAAATATTAAACTCTGTGTATAGATAACAATCTTCCATGAGGAGGGAGAGCTAACAACTAATAGTCTCTTAGTTCAGACTGGTTTTACACTGTTTTCTGATGTTCATTTTCTTTATTAAAAACAAAGTCTATCCACTTTCATCTTATATTTCCTCAAAATAGCTATACCGGTATACTTCCCATGGCTACTGCACTATATGAGAGGACAGAAGTTAATAGTCCTTAGCATTGCAGTAATAGTAAACTAAATTTAAAAAACTGAAACATTAGAATTTAGTATTTGTGATTCAGCAGATTACCAATGCGCTAGCATGGTAAGCTATCTCTAGAGAGAAGACAAAGTATCATACTCAAAAATATTAAGTACTAGAAAATAAAAAATTAAGGGTTAAAATAAATACCTACAGGTCTCTACTTGCAAAAACCATTTAAGCAAAGTAATTTCAGCCTAGCTTTTGACTAAAACTTTCAATCTAAATTACAATTTCAATGTATTAAGAGATATTACAAATACTGTATTGAAATATATGACATTTACACATTCATAGATTTCATAACCCAATTAAATAAAACTGACTTGCAAATAAGTGACTACCCAGGCTGTGAAGAGTATAGCCACTAATCAAGAGCCTGAATTTGATTCCTCAACACGGAAGGAGAGAAACTAACTCCACACAAAGCTCAATCATGAGAAGCATAACACTGAGGCAGACACCATGCTTTACACACACCAAGTTGTTTATTTCTCACTTTGCAGAAACAGGTTTTACTACCTGCATTTTGTAAATGGCAGAGTTGAAAGTAGTTCTACCAAGAGTAAGAACTGAGCTGAGAGTTAACTGATTCCAGCATCAGGACTCCTACGCACTGTCCATTCCCTCACCTCACTCCAAAGGATGGAAACTCACACTATGATAAGATGGCATGCTCTCTGAGATGAGGAATGGAAATATGCAGTCTTTAAAACTACAGGTCATCTCTTTTCTACATTCATTCATTCACTGTCCTGGAAAAACACAAAAGAAACTAGTTCTCTCTCAACAAGGCCACTAGGAGGCTACAGAAAACAGATGGAAAGACTATGAAGGTTTGTGTTTATAGCCCTTTAACTACTTTAAACATTTGTAAAATTTGTATTTTTCATGTCTGTAACCACTGTAAGGAACAAAGTGAACACATCCTAAAAAATGTTCTGATGTTAACGTAAGAACCTGAGATTCTATTTTAAAGGATGATGGAGGAGGAGTCAAGAGGGTCACATAGTAAAGCGCATCCAACTTCCGCCTGGGCCTGCGTGTGATCCCGGCACCCATGTGAAAGCCAGGCACAGTGGCATGCCCTGGGATTCCTGCACTAGGGAGCTGGAAACAGAAACCACTGGGCTTCCTGGCCTGTCAGTTCCAGGTCACACACACACACACACACACACACACACACACACACACAAACCATATCCCTAAAAAAATCTGATGTAAAATGAAAAGAAGTAACAATTTTTTTTTTTTTTTTTACAGTTTCACAAGTTTAATCTATTATCATCATGGCAGGACATGGCAGCTTTCTGGCAGAGATGGTGCTGGAGAAGGAGCTGAGAATTCTACATCTTGATCTGTAGGCAGCAGATAAAGAAACTGACACCTTGGGTGTAGCTTGAGCATATATGGGATCTCAAAGCCCTCCTCCACAGTGACACACTTCCTCTAACAAAGCCACACTTATTCCAACAAGGCCACATCAACTTCAACAAGGCCACTCAGCCTAATAGTGCCACTCCCTGTAGGCCAAACATTCAAGTACATGAGTCTATAGGGCTGTTCCTATTCAAACCACCACACTGGCTTTAATAGTTTCTAGGAAGACACTGCAAGATGTTATAGTATTTTCTTGTCTCTTCATACTACCGGCTATTGCCTTTGGATGGATCGCTTTGGAATTTCTGAGGATGGCGGCACATTATTCTGAGGATGGTGGTGCTTTAATCCCAGCACATAAGAGGCAGAAACAGTCAAAGCAGAAGTAACAATTTTTAAAGTCACTGCTCTTACCAGAATTTATTAGTTTCCATAGTTGATCTACTGATCTACTAGGGCTTCATTGCATAAGGGAGACTCCATGTTCTTTGTAAATGGTGGATTCTTAGTCAACATGTTTAGAATCTTATACCTGCAAGAATGAAAAATAACTGAGTTTTTAAAAGACCATTTGCTGACTGGTGATGTGAAAAAGAAACACTATAGAAGATATGAAAACTATTTTTCTCCTTGTCCATTAGGTTTAGTTGTGTATTTAGTTCCATTTTTAAATGCTTTATGATAAATTCAAAATATTTATCCTGTGTTTTCTCACTAAAAATACCGTGTGGATTTGCTTTTGAAGATTATCTGAACTGTGTAACAAGGTCTTCAACAATCTGACTATATAATCCTAACAATTTCATTCATTTTAGTATTGAAAACAAAAGCAAACAAACCAACCAAAAACCAACAACCTGGTGGTTAAGTATGAAAATCCTTGTAATAAAGACAAGAGAACAAAATAACTCAAACATGGGCCAACAGTTCAAATTAATCAGAACATAAACTTCATACATAGCACCAACAGAAAGCATGGAAATGTGCAGACACATTTTAAAAACGGAACATAGAAAATAAAGAAAGGGGTAAGAGCGTCTTCAAAACAAGTTGCAATTGAGTAAACCATGGTGGCACACACAGTCTTAGCACTCTGGAGGCTGCGGCAGAAGAAGAGTGGCGAGTTCAAGGCAGGCTATGTTATATAGCAAGACACTGTCATGAACAAACAAACACAAAATCTGAATGAAAGAGCCAAGTAAGAAGAATAACTGGAAACTCCATGGCTCAAGTTTATAATCATGAGAGCTAGTTTTTTTTTTTTTTTTTTTTTTTTTTTTTTTTTTTTTTTTGTTTATTTGTTTTGTTTTTCTGGAGATGAGGCACAACAAAGAGACCAAAATCTTAAGAAGAAAATATTTGATGCTATGAATATGGAAAGATGCAAAGAAAAAAAGTGTGTGGGGGGAACCCTGGTTGGAGCCTAGAGTTTAGTGGAAAGACAAGGGCCCGGACTGGAGTAAGCAAAAATGTAAGAACTAAGAGGACTTGGTCTCAGCCAGGCATGGGGGCAAACACCTTTAATCCTAGCACTCAGGAGGTAAAGGCAGGTGATCTCTGAGTTTGAGGCCAGCTTGGTCTACACAGTGAGTTCCAGGACAGCCAGGGCTGTTACACAGAGAAAGACTGTCTCGAAAAACAAAAACAAAGAGGAATTGGACTCTTGAATATAAGGAAGGAGGAAAGAAAGGGGATGGAATTCACGGAAGATAGCCAAACTTTTAAAAAAGAGAATCTGGGAAATTTCTGCACTTCACTACCAGAGCTAAGAAATCCAGCTGAATTTTCAGCTGGGGAGGAAGTAAGAGGAAAGTTGATGGGCTGAGTGAGTGCTGTTTAAAACACTACACTCCCAGCCCTGCCATTTCATGTCTGCAAAAGTGGAAGATGGGAACTTTATTGGCACCTTTTGTGGATGTGAAATTAAAGATTGCAAAAAACAAGACTACTAAAGGTTGCCTTAAAAAAGGCAGGATGTGACTTTAGATACAAATGAAAGCAAGTTATATGAAAAGGAACATAAATCTTTACAAATAATTCATACAAACATTTTCATCTTTATGGACAAACATAATCCCTGTCCTTCAAGATCTCTTCCTCTTTGAGTCGATAGGAATGCCTTTCTTTGAGTTTTGAGAAGGAGGTCTCACTGTGTTGTCCAGGCTAGTCCTAAGCTTAATTGATCCTCCTGCCTCAGCCTCCTGAATGTTAGGGAGTTTGTTTTTTAGAACCTATTAATGTTGCTATGTTTTTAACATGCAGTGAAGTTGAAAAGTACATTTCTGTCCAGCTGCTTTCCAAAGTATCCAAAATGAAACAGAGACCGACCATTAAAGCTTTTGGTATTGCTCCAAACACTACAAATGCTTTCTAACCTCTCTGATTTGTAAAGGGCACTCTGAGGACGTCTCTGAAATCACCACTAAAATAGCAATGATGATTAATTAATACATGTATAACTTATAGCAGTCTTTATTCATTTCTTTAACACATGTTTTGTCCTTTTAAGTTCACATGTTAGGAACTGGAGACCATGGCTCAGTGGTTAAGACAGCTTTTGTTCTTAAAGAACACGGGGGGTCAGCGGGCTCAACACTGCTGTGACTCCTGTTCTAGAGGACCTGTTGCCCTCTTCTGTCGTCCTCAGGTGCCTGAATGTCCATGGCACACATAGGAGATAACATGCACACAAATAAAACGAAAAACCAAAAAACAAAACTCTGAGGATAAAAACACAGACACACATACCCATACACAACATGCTCATAATTAAAATAACAAATTGCTTTGCTAGAAATTTTTTTGAAGCAGGAAAAGACTAAATATACAAAATATTCAAAGGAAATAAGAGAAGACAAGTATCCCAGGCTTAATTTACCAGAGTTTACATAACAAAGTGTTACAAGTGTAGACTTCAGACATCTGAAACATACTTAAAGCCAATCTCAAAGTCACACGTTCATGGGATCACAGAAGCAAAAGGATCACTGTATTTGACTGAAGATTTGAGAATTTTCTTCATGAGACAGTCTAATTCCAATGCTATCACTAAAAAACAAATTAACAAATCAAACCACCACAAACCAAACCAACAGCAAACCAACCAACCACTAAAACAAACAAAAGCTGAAAGTCTGCCAAGAGAAAAAGCAGTGACCATAAATGCATCACCTCAAAGAACTGGTACAGTCAGATCATGATCATGTTTACTTCCAAAACAGGAGAGCTTCATGCTATCTTCTATGAACCTTATATAATCTAAACCAAACGTAACTATACACATATGAAAACAACTATAATCAACAAATCAAAATGGGTCAGGGCTACGATTTCTGGTTATACTATTACTACAGGGCATATTTTTCTCTTGGTGGGATTTTGTTATTTTCTAAAATTTGTATGATCATTTTATTTTGTTGCAACAAGGTTGCATTATAAAGCTCAGACTGGTCTTGAACCTGCACTCCTCCTGTTTTGGCCTTTTTACACTGGATTACGAGTATATGCCAGCCTGGCACTGTGAGGAGTTTACCCCCCACTCCCTTTTCTTGAAAGAGAATTTTACTATGTCACCCTGGCTGGCATGGAACTCACTACATAGACCAGAGTGCCCTTGAACTCAGAGATTCACCTGCCTCTGTCTCCTGAGTTTGGGAATTAAAGGCATGAACTCCCGGCAAAGGTCATTTTTACTGAAAGGAAACTTCAACTTTGAAAATTTAGAATTTTAGTTTTTAAAACAACACACATAAATTAAAAGGTTTATTTTAGCTTATGCATGTAACTCTTTTTTATCCTAACAAACACATAAAATTGACAGCAAACGTTAGAGCAAAAAGAGATAAACAGTACGTCAAGAGATACATAAATTAATCAAAAAGATTTTGCTTAGTTTAAATTCATAAACTATTTTAATGAAGAACAGACTTTGGCCTGAAAGTGCTCTACTGAAAGAAGCCACACAAGGAAAGCAAGTCTCATCAGCACATGGGACACTAAGCTCCTAAGACTCAAAGCTTCCCAAGCATTCTAATCACATCCTGAGATACTGTGTCTACTACAGTTGTGACAGGGGAAGTAAAGTCACTTTAATCTATGACCAAAGTTAAATATACACATAGACATATGAGTGGAGGAAAAGGAAAAGTACATTGAGCCATTTGTTTCATATGCATTTAGCACTGTTCTTAGGTGCCATGGATTAGGCAGTGGCAAAGATCTGATCCTGAACTATCTAGGTCTACAAAGCTGTAGAGGAGACAAAAAAAAAGACCAAGTCATCAAATTATGACATTGATATTTACGTAAGCACTTATGAACTTCAGCACAATAGGACTGTGAGAATTTATGGGAGAATATGACTTGTGGAAGTGCACCAGTCCAGGGAATCAAGGATTATCTCTGTAGATGTCACATTTAATTCTAAAGGGGAAGAATGATTGTAGGTCATGTGAGCTTTCCTTGTTTCTGACTTATGGGTAACCTTCACATCTTTACACAAACGAACTCTGAAGTATCCTGTAACAAAAACAGGAATGGGAAATCTATACACTTCCAAAGTTTTCATTTTCACTGAGGGCCATTTTACCGCATGTTTTAGAACCCACCATGCCCACAAAAGCTTGCTTTTGGAATGGGACAGGAGAATGCCAATGACGTAAACAGACGAAGACACCTGAGTATCTAGGTCCTCCCAATAGGAGTTCTGCAATGCACAGAAGTCATGTGATGTTTACTCAAATAAATTCTTAAAAGTGCGATAGCAATGCGAATGAAAAAGACATACGATAGAAACACCACCACCACCACCCAAGGGCATCACACATCATGGTACACACCTGTAGTCTCAGTATGCATGAGGCAGAAGCTGAGGCCAGCCTGGACTATATAGTAAGACTGCCTCAAGCAAAGCAACCAAAATATAAATAAAGGAATGAAGTTAATTAAAGACAGAAAGCATGGTGGTACACTGGGAAGGCCGAGCGAGGCAGATCTCTGTTAGCTCAAGGCCAGTCTGGTCTACATAGGAAGATAGTCAAGGCCATACAGTGAGACCCTATCTGAAACAAAATAGAAAACACCACTGAGAAAGCAATCACTGTGTGGAAACACTTTCATCTGGTGACCATTCAATGCCATATGGCTTTCTAAAAGTGGGGACTGACAACAAAACAAAACAAAACCCCCTTGACATTTCTTTTGTAAGGTTGTGGGGTGTATGTGCCATGGCCATATGTGTAGACATTAGAAGACAACTTGCAGGAGTCAGTTCTCGTCTCTATCGCGGGTTCTGCCTTTACCTGCCGAGTCATTTCACCAGCCCTTAACTGCAAACTTGTGCAACTGTGTGTGGTTTAGTACAACCTATATGCTAGGGTGATATTAAAGGAGAAATTTCTCCAGTGGGGACATAAAAAAGCATGTCAGTTAAGAAGAAAACATGCTAAACCTAACTATGAAGCATACCTCTAAAAGGATTTTCAGTCTAGTCTGTAAATAGTGCTCTTGACATCTGAATGAACCAAAACATTTCAAAAACACAATTCAAAAGCACTCAATAAATGTGTAATACAATAACTTCAAATATCACAAAACCATGACAATCTGCCCAAAGTACTCTGAAGTTATCAGAAATACAGATGTTAATTTTTAATTATGTAAATTGAAAACAACTGAACACATGTAAAGCTTTGTTTATATTGCATTTATAGCATCTGTTCCCATTTGCTACCAAAGACTAAAGTGCACTCAGCATTTTCGATAAAGGAATGAGGCTGTATTCCGTGCTCTATATTTTAAAATGTGAAGCTAGCTGATTTTTTACTCTGCATTTCAACTTCATATCACTCACAAGGACAGATTATTCAAAATATACTATAGATCACAAATCAACAATGTTAAAATCCTAACAAAATTTCATATAAAAACTTGTGTAACAAACATTATTTAAAAAACTGAAATGTACAGTTACTAATCAAGAAGTCACTGCTATAGAAAGTCTAACCTCTTGAGCAGACTTCTCACACCTAGAGGCATTTCAGGGATGAGAAAGCAGACTTCATCTGATAATCTAAGTCCTTGTCTCCAGCTGAAATGGCTCTGAAATTATGCTCTATGAAGCCAATACAATAAATCAAATAAATCCTAAGTGTCTATCTACTATGGGCAAAGGAAGGAAGACAGAAATGGTTAAATTTAACTCCTCAATTAAAAACCCCACTGTGTAAAAGAAAACAGCGGGAATAAATGCAGTTAGAAGAGGTAATCACAAATACAAAGGCAGATGCCATGTCAAGCCTGCAATTCTTTTAGTTTCTTAAGATTGTAAAAAACATCAACTCTAATGAACATTAAGGCTCTAAATGTAATAAACAAATGGGAGCCGGTTATGTGGCTCCGTGAGTGAAGACTTGTCCTCTGAACTCCACATGCATGCTGCGGTACGTGTGCACGCATACACAGACAAAACATATAAATGTAATAAAGATTTTAAATGAACAAAAAACAAGATGCCCTGAAATAAGTTCCCAAATGATATAAATAGTGAGATCAATTATAAGTTGGGACACACAAGACATCTTCCCTATTCATTAAACTAAGAAACTATTAACAATGTACTTGAAAATGTTTTTACAAAATCAAATTAAGAAAATTGTTTTAGCTGGGCAGTGGTGGCTCACTGCTTTAATCCCAGCAGTGGCAGGCAGATCTCTTAAGTTTGAGGTCAGCCTGTGTACAGAGTGAATTCCAGGACAGGCTCCAAAGCCTGTCTCAAAAAAGAAAAAGAAAAGAAAAAGGCCTTAAAAATGCATAGCTTATTGCCATATTTAAAAAAATCATAAACATCTTTCCCATGCACAATCTTCAGAAATGATTCAACCCACTTTAGGACTCCAAATCAAGACATTACAGTACATACACTAACCTTACATATGGAACAGGGTCAGTCTGAATCATATTAAGTAGCCACTGAAGTTCTTCACAACTCCAGTCCACTGAAAATAAAATGAGTAAATATATGCAGGGTTAATTACAGCACATCAAATAGCAAGTGAACATATGGAGGGGCAGTAAATAAGTAGGGTTCTTAGTGGGACTGTCATGCAGTTGAAGGATCCAAGGAAGCAATTAGCACTCTTTTTCTTTTTTTAACTCGGTATGCTCTGGGCCAGTAACTTTCTTTCATAAGCATCATGCCATATGTAACCAAGACCAAAAACAGTACCTAGTATGCACTCAGCCAAATACCAATACACCTTAAAGCAAGTTATACTTCGTTAAAAGCCATAAATTAGACACAATTCCTTGGACAAGATCTGCCTAACTTTTTAGATGCTTAAATCCCAGAGAGGTTTGACATACAACAGCATCATAAATGCAAACATGTTTCTGCCCACATGGTTCCTCCGACTAAGACCGAGTAAGAAAAGAAACTATGACTATATTATGACTGTAGCTGACATGAAATGACACATTAAGTATTGCCAATCACCTTTTCAATATATTTTTAAGAACTGAAAAGCTTTATTTACAAAATTTTATACATAACAGGTTTCCTTTTGTCACCTTCTGAGTACCAACATTTTAAGCTGCAGAATTCATGGTTCATCCCTAAGCATGGTTCATTCAAATTTTTAAATTATACTTATTAGTTTTGTATTCTTTTGGAAACACTAGTACTCTATTAATTTTGGGTAATATTAACTCAAGAATACCCTTCACCTATCTGAAGAAAAGCTAGGCATACTAACAAATTACTAGATTTCAAACAAGTCTAGATTTTAAGCTGGCAAGATATCAAAACATATAGACCCATAATTATTTATGTTTATTGCTTGTCAATTGATTCACTTAACAACAGCAAATCATATTTATATCATCTCCTAAATGAAAGGATATTAAAATGACAGTTCTTTCTGAATCAAGGCAAACATAATATAAACACAATATGGTTACTACTGTCTTTGCTTTCCATCTGTAGGCATTTCTGTTGAAATTTATAAAACTTAAAAAGACATGTTTCTAGTTCACATACAACCTGTGACTTCCTATGGATCTTCCCATCTCCTTTTATTCTAACCATAGTTCAATACACTATCAGAAAAGTGTGTGCATACTCCAGACCTCAATTCCCCCTGTTACCAATCAATGGCCACTCATTTCTCTTCAGGTTACAAGTAACGTGGATATGATTTGTATAAAGTTGATAAAAACCAGTAACCACTTAAAATATTAGAAAATCTTCAAAGCGGATTTGTAACACACACACACACCTATCAGATGAACAGTTTCCAAGTTAAATAGATACAGAATAGTTTTTGGGTAAAAAAAAAAAAAATCATACTAGGTGAGCATCAATAAAATTTGCTTAGTATAAAAACATCATTAAAAACAAAGAGAAGAGTATCTTCTGTAGAAAATACCTCTGAAAACTCATGAACTTGTTTGTTTTCACGATGTTTGGACAAGTTTTACAACAAAACATTCTAGTGAAGAGAGACTTCATGGCTGGTGGTCCTGTCCATGTGCTCACCATTGCTTTGCAATCTGTAAATAATCAGAAGATGAAGTACTTTCCATCACTATTGTAAATACACTTTGAAGACAAAATGGCTTTCTAGAAGCCAACACTACAGTTCTTGCAAATTAATACAATTTGATCTTTTATTACCCATTTCTAATACACAAACTCACCCACCAAAAACCCTGACCAAGCAACCAAACAAACAGAAGATGAAGCGAAAGCCCCACTCCTATGTGCATTTACAGTCATTTTGCATAAGTTAATTTCTAAATGACAGCATCCTCTTGTGTTTAACAAAAACTTGCTTGCAAAGGCTTCTCTGACTGGGTTTGTCCTATCCACTTGGGTAGATACAATTCTGATATTTTAAGCTTATAAGGTAAAAACATTATTGTGAGTTTTAAGTGTTTTTCAGGCCACTCCAGTGACTTATGCAGTATTACTTATCTGGAGAAGAGTACTGAGGCAAGGGTAAGACATGAGGAATGTAAGTTCCAGGCCAACCTAGGGTACATAATAGACTATTCCTCTTGCCCTCACCCCAAGACATGTACAGGGCCACGGCCTTTAAGTGCTTCCATGCTGGTATCTGTCCCCGACTCAAGAGCAGAAGCCAAATTGAGTGAATGGTTGCTTTCTCTTCTTCAAGCCATACATCCTACTCTTGCTGGTAAGAATCACTGGCACTCTGCCGGCAACCGCTAACTCAGAGCAGAGGCTCGAGTCTCCAGTGTCTATCACACAGAGGCTGATGAGGCTACGAGTGTACTGCAATCTCACCCACCGTGCTGTAGTGGTTGCCCAGAAGTGCCAATGCAGTTCTAGCTATTTAAAACTGATCTGGGCTCGTGAAAAGAAACGCATGCTTCACTAAATACCTCAAATTAAACACAATTAAAAATTACAAAGGTAAAGGAAAAGAAATAGTCAACTTTATATTCTTTAAGTAAGCAAGGCTGGTCCTAGATTCCCCGATGCAAAACAACAACAAATTCACAAATTAATAAAATATAAAAACAGACTAATGGATAAGAGACCCCAAGAAAAGGACTTGCAGCAAAGTTCAAGCATTTCCTTCCCTTAAAGGTGCACACCCTTAATGCCAGCATTTGAGAAGCAGAGGCAGGTGGATCTCTGTGAGTTCAAGAAAACAAAACAAAAAACCCCTTAGTACTGAAATTTTTAGGACCTATAAAAAATGTCTGAAATTAAGGATATTGTAATTAAATACTTCATCCTATAGTTTTGTGGTTCTGCATGATTTTAACAACAATCACACCAGGCGTTGGTGGCACATGCCTTTAATCCCAGCACTCGGGAGGCAGAGGCAGGTGGATCTCTATGAGTTCGAGGCCAGCCTGGTCTCCAGAGCGAGTGCCAGGATAGGCTCCAAAGCTATACAGAGAAACCCTGTCTCGGAAAAAAAAAAAAAAAAGAAAGAACAATCGCAACACTCTTCAGAGTAACAATGAAATCTATCAATCTAACAATGAAATCTAACAATGAAATCTGCCGGCAGAGTGCCAGTGATTCTTACCAGCAAGAGTAGGATGTATGGCTTGAAGAAGAGAAAGCAACCATTCACTCAGCTCGGCTTCTGCTCTTGAGTAGGGGACAGAAGCAATCCCATTTTCTCTCTAATATCTGAGAGCACAGGTCAACTACATGCTACCACTAAAAACAAAACAAACACGAAGCATGAGAGTCTACTGATGGAAGCAAGCCTGTCACACAGATGCTTCAAAACACCCGGTAGACAGGATTTCTGCTCAGCTTTCTGTCTGCATTCTTCTGGTTTCAGACTTTCTTTACTCTAAAGACTGTTCATTGATAAATTAACTCTTCCTAGAATGTTAAATCGTTGAGACAATTACCATAGATTATTTACCACCAATTTCAATTCCTAAACAAAAATAAAATAACTACCGTAATGGAACAATTAAAAATTTGTTAATTTTATGAATTCTCACATAAAAGCATAAATGACTACAATCACAGAATTTCCTTTTTTTTTTAAAAATTTATTTCTTTATTTTATGTATGTGAGGGCTCTATATGCATGTATGCCATTATCCTAGAAGAGGGCATCAGATCCCACTATTGATGATTGGGAGCCCCCATGTGGTTGCTAGAAATTGAACTCAGGACCTCTGGAAGAGCAGCCAGTGCTCTTAACATCTGAGACATCTCTCCAGCCCCCTATCACAGAATTTCTAACCAAAATTTTTCTTAGCCTTAAAAATATGTTTGGCAATTTAAAATGAAAAAAATTTTTCTTAGTTTTCATTCTGACAAGTACAATATTTTTGTACTTAACCTATTTTTATATCAAACATTTTTTTTTTTTTTTCAAATCTGTGCTGTTACAAGTATTTGGTACAAGCTTTCCAAAAGGTACCGTTACCAAGAAAAACTTAAAGACTCTGGAAAGTTTTAATTCATTCTCAGAGCCTTTGTGTAGTAAAGTGTAGAACACTCATAGGGCAATCTGCCTTTCTCCTGTGTAACCTCACCTTCGCAAGACAGAAGCAGCTGACATCCTCACTGGGTAGAAACACTGCTCTTGTTCTAGAATATCAGTGAGTGAGAGACATGATGCTGGCCCGGGGTGGGGAATTTTTCCAAGGCCAGGATAGATTACTGCTGAGCAATGACATCTCTTTCATAGCCAAGCTCATACTGCCACATAAAATCAGCCTGCTCAAATTCCACCTTCCTCAGGATTGACATATCCGGTTCTATCCTTATCCATAGCAAAGGGGAATCAGCGCTAGAGAGAAAACACAGTTTTAGAACTTTAAAAGCACAGTTATGGAAAACAAAGACAACAGAGTCACCACTCAGACTTGTCTCTAGACACAGTAATTTCAAGCTGCTGACAGTTTTATTACCGTTATATTTTATAATTTCAACAAACTTTTCACTGTTACGCTAACTTTCACAATCTTACTAACAAGATCTTTAACGACATGAAGAGTGGACACATAATGAAAAGTTGCCACACAGAATACCAAATTCCAAATTCTCTACTGAAAACATTACTCTGGGCATTCTTATCTGCAAGTATGAGTCATCAAACCGCAAATGATACAAACTTTTTTTAACCCCCTATAACTGACTATAGCTATAAACATTACCCCTTATTAGAAATAAGAAAAAAGAAAGCATTTATTCTTTAGTTTTTAGTTGACATACAGTACCTTTTAAAATGGTGGACTCACTGGGTGGTGGTGCACACACCTTTAATCCCAGTGCTCAGGAAGCAGAGGCAGGTGAATCTCTGTGAGTTTAAGGGCAGAAAAAAGAAAAAAAAAAGTTAGACTCATGACTAGCTTTTTAAAGAAAGTTCTCAAATCATAATTTGAAAGCAGGCCCATCAGTTAATTACCATGTATTTCTCAAGTACCATGCAAAGTACAAATCAAGTCTATGTCAACATTTTGATCAAAAGAATACCACTCTGTAATACTAACTCAGTATTATTTATATAAAAATATAAAATATAATTAAGAAATATCAATCAATATCACAATCAGCTATAATCCTAGCAGGCGGGGAGGTAGAATCAGGAGCATCAAGAATTCAAGTCCAGGCGCTAGAGGGGCAGCTCAGTGGTTAAGAGCACTCGTTGTTCTTACAGAGGACCCAGGTTCAATTTCCAGCACCCACAGGGTAGCTCACAGCTGTCTAAAACTCCAGTTCCAGGGCTTCTGGTGCCCTCTTTGGACTTCCACAGGCACCAGGCATGAATGTCATACAGACACACATGGAAGCACAACAGACACATGCATGTAAAAGTTAAAATGAAAACAAAACAGTCAGGCTCAGTAAAAACTACCTGGGCTAGAAGAGACGTTGTGTCAGGAAACCAAAACTAAACACAAACATTAAGAAGAGTGGTATTCAAACAGTCTGTGAAAACAGAGGCTGTGTCACCATGCTCTGGAACACTGTCTCAAACACAACCAGTGTCACCGTGGACTCATTTGACATCTAAACATCAGGCCTGCAACTAACATAATGAATGCGAAATGGCGTTTCCGGATTTCTCAAGTGAGTCACAAGCATTTTACCCATTTGAGAAATAATACTCAAGGAAGCACTGAGAGAGAGCAAGGAGGCGGGGGAGCTGAGGTCAGGCCCATGCCTACATTACTGCATTTGTTCTTTTCATTCAGTCTGAAATGGTTTATCTTTAGTGAGTTAGGATTTTACTTAGTTTTTTCCCTAACAACTTTGCTTGGCTTTAAATGGTTTTAAAAACACACATTTCAAAGGTAATTACATACTTTTAAGTAACTTACTCCGTTGCAGAAAGAGCCATGTCAACTTCTTCCCCATTCATCAGTGGGATTTTTTTCTTCTTATTCCTATATTTAAAATAAACTAAAATTAAAAACTGTGGGATTTCCAAATCAGAATGGAGCTATAGAACAGCCAAAGTTCAAATAAAGGGTTTCACGAAACTCTAAAAGATAGGTCAAAGAAGAGTGAATATACAATGAAACGGAGTTTAGAAACAGCAAAATCCAAAATCTACCTTGATGCTAGAAAAAGTGGGTGCTGAAAGCAAATCAGCTTGGAATACATGAGACCCCGCCCTCTCAAAAAAAAAAAAAAAAGCAAATGAAAAATTCATTTAAAACCAGACATGCCAGCATTTGGGCAGGAGAGGCACAAGAATCACATTAGTGTATATAGTGAGTTCTAGGCCAGCCTGGACTATAGATTGATACGATGTCCCAGAAGTAAATTAAATATATAAAAAAATAATTCCAAAAACAGAGGTGTTTCATCAATAGAAAGCAAGAGCTGGGCGTGTAGGAGGGCATGCCTGTGATTCCAAAATTTGGGAGATGGAAGTAAGAAGATCAAGGCTAGTAGGGCTACGAGAGCTCCTGTCTCAACAACAAAACCAGACACAAACAAAAAGTATGTGTGGCAATGCTAACAGGAAGTACAACAGGAGACAAAGCTGTGGATAAGATGCTCCTCCTGGAAACGTTTTGCTGTACAACTGGAGTTTCAGTGAGGCATTTTACAGGTGGGATTTGTAGTTTCATCTCCAGTTCACAGTTATGACTCACTGCCTACCTTCTGCTTTTAGAGTGGCAGGGTATATCGTGTTTAAGGCTGTTTTCTTCAATTTGCAAGGTATGGTTGAAGGATCCGTCTAACTCTTGCACTGTTACTTTAAGTGGTCCCTTTAAAAAAAACAACATACCATTCAAAGATTGCTAAAAAATGGGCCAATCTATATCCTTCCATTTAACGATAGCTAAGTCAAGATATAAAATATGCAATACCAAGTATGTAATGTCAGAGTGGAATGGCCAAGGTGCCAAGGATAAGGGAAGCGAGGATGTGTGCTCTGAAATCTGTCTGTAGCCTCGTCCCTTCAAGTACTCACTGCAAACTCATCAGTCACCCAGCTTGAAAGCCCTTCCTCTGCTGGAATCGGACAGAGTCAACAGTGAGACAAGCTCTTCTAGAAAAACACTTACCACGTACTTCTGAGTTCCAGGAGATGTATAATCTTGTTTTATTTCTAGTTCTAAAACATTTCGTTTTCTATTAAACTCAAAACTTCTGTAAAATTTTACTACTCCACTCTGGTCCCTGAAGAATTGTAAAGGAAATTTTACGTATTAAAATGAAAATTTAGTATTTTAGTATTTTCAAAGTACACTTCATTATATCCCAGGTGGCAACATATTGAAAATTCTTATAAAAAATGTTTCCCAGATTAAACATTTCTGAAAAATCGAGAAGCTTGTGTTTGAAAGTAACACTACTCCACTGGATTATTAATAGGACCTTGAAGTGAAAAAAGTTGCCAAGTTCCAATATACCACTTAAGTTGTGCCAAGCTCCAAGCACATTTAAAAGCCACCAGACCATTTCATCTTACAAATAATACTATAAGCCTGTCTGCTAGGGGAACCTGCCTTTCTGCTCATATTAAATAGTACAAACTATGTCATATTTTGTAAACATAAACATCCATGTTTACATATGAATCTAACTTAGTTTTTGGAAGGGGCTTTAGAAGATACAAGTCATATGTCAGTTATTTCTACTTTTAAAGAAGTATCACTGGCTCACCTCCCTCTTTTCCATCTTTCACACAACTTATTCCCTGATTCCCTGCCACTTTGCTGAGCTGCTACTGCAAAGGAAACACCCACTGCTTTCTTAAGGGCTGCATGTCTTTGCCAGAGACATTGGAAATGGACTTCAAAAACCCATAGGTGGAAACCAGCATCTGACTCCACATGTGCGACTGGAACTTCTGAGACGAAGCAGTACTGGCCAGGCTTAGTAGTTTATTGAAAACCTGCAAGGACAGACGCTCACATAACACTGTTTCCAACTGGACACTGCATCCAATTTGCACTGGAAGAGCAAGAGAAACATACAAATGTTTAAACAGGATATAAGAGCATTGTTCATAGAAACATTATTGAAGACTAACAATGTACACAGAAAACACCATTTATTAAGAATTAGGAGCATAATATATAATACCTACCAAATTTTAAACAGGAATTCAAAACTTGGAGTATTCATTACAAGCCTAGTACTCTCATGTTAGGCATTTCATAAAGCTCATGTGGTCTGCTTTCAAAAGGGAATATGGGGCCATGCTTTGGTGGCGCACGCCTTTAATCCCAGCACTCGGGAGGCAGAG